ACAGGCAAAGTTCAAATAAAAAAAAAAAAAAAAGAGAGAGAGATAAAGGTTGAACATGTCATTATGAGAGGCAACGATTCCCCAAGGCACGTTGGGAGTTGCAAGTGTTTCCTTCGTCCTCGTCAAGGAACTACTTTTGACTATTCTTTTTTAGCAATAATACTTTTTTGGTCCAATTTTCTAGCTATAATATAAAGAGGTCATTGTTTACATATTTAAATTTTAATTATATCTTTAATTTTTTATTTTATTTTATTTCATCTTTTAATTTTTAAATTATTTCATTTAGATCCTTAATCTCTAAAATCGATTATTTTTTACTTTTTTACATAATAATTTAAAAAAATCCACAACATGCCAAAGAAAGTGTTCACATGACGTATTGCATAACCAACAAGGTTAACGAAAACCCAATATGAAATCATTTAAAAAGGTGTGAAACTCAAATGAAACAATCCAAAAATTAAAAATTAAAATAGAATCAAAATAAAATGTTTGGGACATGGAATAAGCAACATCTATCAAGAGAATTGTATATTATTAAATTATTGGACAGATTTTAAAAAACATAAAATTTATTTATAAATTAAACTTATCAACGATGTTGGAGTTAGATTCGAGCTTAATTTTAAGTATGAATTTTAAGATTTAAATTTGGATTAGATTATATTTTATTAATAAAATTTTTATTTAAATTTAATTATAAAATGTATTTAAAATAATATAGTAATATAAAAAAGGTTTTAATACTTTAATTTTGTTTTTACTCGTAACCAAACCGATTTAGAACTCCATAAATGAAAAACTGAGTCTATGGAAAGGTTTTAAAAGTGGCAATCGAGTTTGATCTGGCCTAACTGATCCTTGAATTCTTCTACTATAATAAATGCCACATGTCTCAGCTTGGTAGACACAGTAATTGGGTGAGAGGAATGAATTTTATTGGAAAAAATTTAAAAAAATTATAAAATTGTACTAAAATTATAAATTTTTCAAAAAATAATTAAAAAATTATATTAATTTATTAAAAAAATAAAATCATTTAATGAGATATAAAGTACTTTTTTTAATAGTAACAAAACTTATCTCTGGTCCCTTCTCTCTCTTCAATATTTTCATATTCACACACTTCTTAAAATTACATATATTATTACATTTTTACCAAATGTTTACCATTTACGATTGGTAGTGTATTACTTAAAAGTAGTAACCATTTAGAGAAGGAATTTTTATTTTATTTTTCCCATCGAACTTCTTTGTAGTATTTGCTGCATGACTTTTGATCATTATTAATTATAGGTCAAATAAAAAATTGAGATTGGGTGTTTAATGGGAATGGATGGCTAATTAATCTTTAATCAAACAAGTTTGTTGGCAAGTTAAATGGCAGCAAAAGTTGTTATACGTCCCTTTAGTTATTCTTTTTATTTTTAATTAATATACCAATTAAGAAAAAGAAATAGTTACTAAACGATCAATGAAATCTTGGGTTACTCTCAAGAAAGAAACTCTAAAATCTTCAGATTTTAGGTTTAATCTCATTATATGTGAGTTTGAATATTTAGTTAAATTATAGTTTATTAATTAATTATTTAATGATATAATAATTGATTATATAGATATAATATTTGATTATAAGTACAACTTCAAAAAATAATGCTAAATAAAAAATAAAATAAAAACGATTATATTATTTTTTAATAATCATATCTATACTATCTTTACTATTTATACTATCCATTATTTAAATTGAACCGTATATGACCAAAAATTAAGTCAGATGTTCAAATTCTTTTGTTATTTGTTTTGGTCAAAATTTTTTAATATTTAATAAATTTTTGTTATAAAAATTTTTAAGTGGGATTCACTTTATACCAAATTTTTTTCTTTCTTTTTAACTTTTTTTTTCAAGATTTTAAATTTATTTTGTACGGAATTCATTTAATACTGAAGGTACGCCTTATATTTACTTTTTTATTATTATTTTTTTATATTTAATAAATATTTTTAAGATTTAAATTCTTTTTTATCTCACCAAAAAGTATGTTATGTGTCCAGTTATTTTCTTGTTTAATCTTTTATTTATTTATTTATTTATTGTTTAAATATTTATATATTTTTATAATATTTTACCTTGACATGGGTTGAATGGGTATTTTGTTATTTTGTTTTCAAATAATATAGTTTGAGATAGGTTGAGTTTCTTAAAAAGAAACGAGCTCAAACCATAAGCATATTTAGGATGTTTTATCTTGAGCTATTTTAAGAGATATATAAAATTTTAAATTTTATTATTTATTTAATTTTATATGTATATATATACAATTATTTTCTACTTTAATAAATTAATATTATAAACTTAATATGAGGTGTCAATGTAACACTTTTTGTGTTTTTTTTTCATTTTCATTTTTTTAGTTTTCCTTTTTTCTTTTTTTTTATTTCTTTATTAGATAAATTTATAGAAAAAAGAGGTCATTTAATATATCTATGTGTCATTCTTTTTGTTTTATCTTCCTCTTTTTTTGTTTTTTATTTTTCATCTTATTTTATTTTTTAATTAAATTAATTTTGTTTAAAAAATATGATAAATAAAAATAAAAAAAAAATTTATCCGTGGTAACATACAGATATTTTCCCTAGTTTATACTATAAAATTAAAACAATCCCCTAAATAACTTCTTTTTGACATATGTTCTGTTAATTGAATGGTTATTTTGCCATCATTAATCAATAAAAAGAAAGAAGAAAAAGTTTCTAAACTAAAATATAAACATGTCAAAGATACGTGGCAAAAGTTGGGAAAGTTGGGAATGAATAAAAGGGGGAGGGGGGGGGGGGGGAGATGAGGCAGGGAACGGTAAAAATTGAAAAAGTTGGGTATAAATCACGTATTCTAATTTTTTTTTAATATATTTCAAAATTTTATAGAACATAATAATTCTGTTTAACAAAATTTTTTTCACTATAATTAACAATTTTATTTAAAATAAAATGATATTACTTTTATTATTTTATTTTAAAATAATAATCCCAATTAAAATAAAAATATTTTACCTATATAATATAATAATTAAATAATACAATATTTATATTTCAAATAAAAAATTATTTTAATTATTTATTATTATAGTAAATGTGATATTTTAATTGAATATATTATTATTAACATTACTTAATTATAAAAATAATTATAATAATATTATATAAATTAATTATAATTACAAAAATTATATATATTTATTGTTACCTATATATATATTATATATCATATAAAAAGGAATAAAAAAATACTACGTTTATTAAAGAAAATATAGTCTTTTACTCCTAAATTTAAATGCCATATCTAATATTTAGATTTTGGTCATGTATAAATGAACACTACATAACCAAAATTTAAGCCACATCACTTTTTTGTTTTTTTTCCTTTTTTGTCAAAATTTTTTTATATTTAATAATAATTTTTATAGATTTTATTATAAGAAAGTGGGACTTGCTTTCTATTAGGTTTTCGTTATGGGTCATTTTAACTTTTTTTAGGGATAAAACTATTATATTTATAAATAATTAAAATACAATTTATGTATTAATCTATCAATTATATAAATTATATTTATTTTGACTTTTATTTCACCCTCATTCATAGTGTTAATATTACATTTTAGGTTTTTTTTTTTTTTTTATCTTCATTTTCTTTTTTGCCAACTTTTTGTTTTTATTTGACATTTAAACAAATTTGTAAAAAACATTTGAAAAAATTTTATTTTTTATTTTTTGAAATCAAAATTGAATTAAGATGGATCGAAATTTTATTTATGAAAAATAAAATTGGGGACAAAAACATATTTTGCATGAGTTGATTTGATTTATTTTGAGATATATATAAAAATATATATATTATTATTAATTTAATTTTATGTTTTATATATTAAATTTAATTTAAAAAATTAATATTTTTAACTCGATAGGAATATCTGTGACATTTTTTATAAGCTTTTTGATACATTTGTAAAATTTTTTTTTTGTCTTTTTCTAATTTTAAAATTTTTTTTATTACATAAAGTTGTAAGAATATGAAGACGATTGAGATATCCACGTGTAATTTTTATTTTTAAAATTTTTGTTTTTTTAATTAAGTAAATTTTGCAACAAAAAAATTTATGAATAAGAATGATAAAAAAAAAATTTTAATTAACAACAACGCACAGGCTCCACACATGGTAGATTCAACATAATATTCAATCTAATATTGACACAATATAATAATTAACAATATAATAAAAAAGAAAATTATTTTAATTATTAATTCTATTTGATTATAATTTAATTATAATAAAAATAATATTTTAATTTAATCACATTTTTATTAATAATATTATAACTATAAAATTTATTATAATTATATTTTAAAAAATTAATTATAATTATAAAAATTTTATATATTTATCATTTATTTATTATATATCCTACAAAAAGGAATTAAAAAAAGATTATAGTTTTTTAAAAAACTGCAATACGTTTTTGAAAAAAATATCGTAATAAATGTCTGTTTTTATTTTTTTAAAGAATATTTAAAAATATTTTTATATGTATTAAAAATATTTAAATACAAAAAAGTTGTTTAATATATTTTTAAATATATTTCACAAAACATTTTAATTATTTTTCATAAATACTTTAAAAACATTTAAAATATTACAAAATTATTTTAAAAATATTTAGAAATATTTTATTTTTATTGTTAATATTATGCATAATATTATTCAATTTAAAATTATTTTTTATAAATTAGAAAAAACCCCGAAGAGAAGACAGGCACGATACTAGTTATTTTAAAAAAATTGATTGATAATTACTAGTAGAATAATAATTACTCCGGCCAAGACCACGTCGTCCATCTTCTCACTCGCATCATATAATAGTATAGTACTATTAGAAAAATACAATGAAAATAAGAAAGTGACGGAAAAGGGAAGCAAATAATATTCGTCATAATCGGCGATCCGACACATCTGGCGGAAAATCGCCACGCGAGCGAAATGTGCAATCCCACACTCTCTCTCTGTCTGTAACCATCTTCGCTGGCCTTTCCTCCAACTTTCTGGTTTTGAGGAGATTCCAATCTCCCCGCTGAGCTCCTTAGCCCCCGATCCTTTTAACGTTTTACCCTTCACCGCTGCCCCCTTCGCAACTCTGGAAACTTTGCCTCTTCTTCGTTCCTTTCTCTTTTCCAGGTAAAATGAAAAACCTTTTTTTTTTTTTAAATTTTTAGTTTCTTCCTCTCATTGTCCAAAACAAAGAACACCCTATAATTTAATAATGTGGAACAATGTTATTGGCTTGCAGAGTTGCCGAGGGACAAATGTTACAGCAGTGAAAAGGACAAAGAAAGAGGAGAGAGATCTGATTGTGGTTTAAAGAGATGTACAGAACTCCGTTGCCTGCTCAGCTCTCTGATTCCAACCGCCGAATCATCGACACCAATGCCACTACCCTTAAAGTCTATCAAGTTTGGAAAGGCAGAAATGTAATTTACTAGCACCTATTGTTTCCCATTTTTTTTTCTCTCCTTTCCCTCTTCTTGCACTTAACAATTTATAATCTCTGTCCAAATAGCTAACTTGGAGGTCAATTTATTTGTTCAGAGATTTTGCCTTGGAGGTAGACTTATATTTGGTCCAGAAGTAAGGTCAATCTTCCTTACAATATCTCTAATTGTGATCCCAGTCGTTTTATTTTGCGCTTTTGTTTCTCAAAGCCTCATTCACGAACTGGACCACCATTTTGGCAATCTGATTGTAGCTATTCTAATTATCTTTACCATATATGTAAGTTCTTTCTTCCATAAATTGAAAAAAAAAAAAAGTAAAATCCCGTAAATAAATGTCTTTGTTTTGGGTTGATTCATTATTAACATTGTTTTCCCTGTCAAACAAGTTCAGGATCTTATTCTTCTGCTCCTTACATCTGGAAGAGATCCTGGCATTATTCCCCCGAACTCCCACCCTCCAGAACTGGAGGAAGATGGTTCCACTATGTCTGCGGATTGGGCAGGGGGTCAGAGCGGTGTTGGTGTTCCAAGTTTACCACCTACAAAAAATGTTGTGGTTAATGGGGTGATTGTCAAGGTTAAATACTGCCAAACATGTATGTTATATCGTCTACCACGATGCTCACATTGTTCTATATGCAATAACTGTGTGGAGCGTTTCGATCACCATTGTCCATGGGTTGGGCAATGTATTGGGAAGGTATATGCTTCTGTATTTACTTTTTCTGCTGATGAAAGTTTGGGTTAATTTAATCCTTGTTGAAGTTTCCCTACCAAATGAGAATTGATTACAAGGTCCTGGGAACTGGGTACTGGACTGGTTATATATCCTCTGACAGAGAACCATTTGCTTAATTGCTTTCATCTTTGAAAACCTGCTTTTATCAAAATAATGGCATAAGGCATGATAAAGAGATGCACTTTATGTACCACAACTAATCAACTTCTGACTAGATATATCTATCTTCTTCAAATTCTTCATGTGAGTCAAGTGATGTCTTGCTAAGTACTGATAGTAGTAAAATTCTTTCATCCAAAGTCGCTTTTCTCTAATATCTTTAGCAAAGTAACCAAATAATTGGATTCATTATCTCAGAGTTCCACTTAGTGATGGGATGATCTGATTTGTCATTCACAATAGCACACATATTTTCAGTCTTTTGTCAGTTGGAACTTTTGCCTCTGTGGTCAAATGTGCTGCTTATAGAACTTACTATTGTAAACTTCCAGCTCAGGTTTATAAGAATCATTTTTAAGGAAGGATTTAAGATAGGTTTCCCCATTTATTTATTTATTTATTTTGTAAATAGAAGGGGTAGAGTTCTTCAAATGGATCCTATTAATTGAATTGTTGAAGTATCTACAAAATACCATTGTGCTTGTGAAATGAGCTTTTGGTCCTTTAAATTGAAAACATAGCCTTGCAGGTTGCATAGACAATAAAAATGTCCAGCACACTGATTCTTCTATGTTTCATCTGAATTTTTTACTGGAACTACAACTTAGATGTGATCATTAGGTGATTTCTCATGTGCTTTGCTGGCTTTCATTGTGGGACACTTCTTTGTCCTCTAGACTAACATGTAAAATTGTTTCTTGACAGAGAAATTATAGATTCTTCTTCATGTTCGTGTCCTCCACAACCATACTATGCCTGTATGTTTTTGCCTTCTGCTGGGTAAATATTAAGAAAATAATGGATGAATATCATTGTAATCTCTGGAGAGCATTCTTGAAGTCCCCTGTTTCAGGGGTTCTTATATTATATACATTTCTGACTGCTTGGTTTGTTGGAGGCCTCACTATGTTTCATCTCTATTTGATTTGTACCAATCAGGTTCTGATCTCTTCTTTACCTTCATTTCTTCCATTATTTTGTGTCCTCTACTCGTCTGCCTTGCTAATTTTTTATTTTTGCAGACAACATATGAAAATTTTCGGTATCGTTATGATTCAAAAACGAATCCGTATAATCGTGGTTGTGTCCACAACATTTTTGAGATTTTCTTCTCCAAAATTCCCAAGTCTAAAAATAACTTCAGGGCGAAGGTCAAGTTGGACTCATCTGCTCTCTTTGCTAACTCAATGACCTTGGCTCGATCCATGAGCCCAGAAATGCCAAAAACAAGCTTTGACATAGAGATGGGAATGGGAAAGCGGCAAGCTGTTGCTGCTGAGGATTTTGAAGAAATACTCAGCCAGATTGATAGTGTTGGTAGATTGGAGAGGTGTGGAACGCAACCAAGGCACACAAACCTGGGTGACAAAGCCAACTGGGAGATGTCACCTGATATACGTATGTTGGCTGCTGAGTTTGGAATGGAACACGGTTTCAAGGATAGAGAGAAAGCTCGTAGAGGCCACTGAAGCTGTTTTCATGTAAATTATAGTAAGAAAGGCAAATTAATGATCTTAGAGCCTTCTTGAAGTTTGCCAAACCAGCTGATTGAAATTGACAAGTGAACAATGCCACTAAGATATTAATCCATCAGAAGTTTGTTTTTACACTTTGTTTGTCTCTGCAAGGAAGGAAGGTTCCGGTCTGGCTCAGGTACTCAGGGTTCTTGTTGTATATCATACTGCTTTGACAAATGCTTGGGGTAAGTTTTGTGCTATAATGTGTTCGTTTGTGAGGATAATGGGTTGGTGTTTATAATTAATTGGATCGTGAAGGTTAAACTAAATTATCAATTGTAGAAAGGTTTCTTTAATTATAGATAGAGCTTGGGTCTGTTTCTGCAGGGTCTTGGAACCTTGTGATATTTTTCCTACTTTTATTGTACCGTTTAGGCCTGAGCCCCGCCCCTCTTTGCAGAAACTTTCTATAACTCTCATGGTGGTGATATCAGTAATTGTTTCCAGAAAATGAGTTTTTAGTAAAGATTTTTTTGGATCATGGCACGGGAGTGACTGACTTCAACGTAAGTCTTCCTGCCCCATTCTTGTTAGTTGTTTTTCTGTGAGAAGTAAGGGTGGTGGTTCGGTAGTATCATAACGTTTAGATCTGGGGATCTATCGCTAGACATTGGCTTTAAGAGTCGCCACCAATCTTTTTTTGTTTAGGTGCGATTAGCCATCTAATGAATCTATCCTTTCAATGAACATCTAAGTTTAAGGGTTCCTAAAAGAATAGGTTCGGGTCTGTTAACCAGAACAAGGTTCGGGTCTGTTAACCAGAACAAGGTTCGGGTTTGTTAATCAGAACAGGGTTCGAGAGTACGGTTACGTGTGAAGAAGGTAATAGTACCCTCACAACGCCCATCGAAAGATGGTACCAGTTTAATTTTGTGTTATCCAATAAGCCTTAAAATTTATTCAGTAATTAATTATTGAAAATTATTCTCAATTAACTCCAATATTTTTACAGAAAATTGAAAAAATTTTCTCACCTCAAGAGGATGCAAGAGAACTACTGTTTCACTTGCAGAGGTTTCATCGTCGGATTATTTAACCTTAAAGAAAATTCAAGAAACAAAAAGGAAAAGAAATAAAATGAAAAAAGAAAAAGAATAATAATTCAGTTTTAGATATAAATCTTTTTTTCTTCAAAAACTCATTGTTTTTATACAAGAAAAATTGATACTTTTAACTTTTCCTTAAAACGTTTTTTTTTTAAAAAAAAAATTGATATTTTCAACTTTTTCTCAAAATGTTTTTCTGAAACTTTAATTTTGAGATGCTTTTAATTTTTTCTCAAAAATATTTTTTAAAAAATTTATTTTTAAGAAAAATTGATACTTTCAACTTTTTCTTAAAAATATATTTTTTAAAAAGTTTATTTTCAAGGAAAATTGATACTTTCAACTTTTACTAAAAAATATTTTTTTAGAAAATTATTTTCAAAGAAAATTGATACTTTCAATTTTTCCTTGAAAATATTTTTTAGAAAACTTATTTTCAAGGAAAATTAATACTTTCAACTTTTTCTTAAAACTATTTTTTTAGAAAATCATTTTCAAGGAAAATTGATATTTTCAACTTTTTTTCAAAAATATTTTTTAGAATTTTATTTTAAAAAAATCATTAAAAAAATAAAATAAAATAAAAATAAGAATAAAAAATAAAAATAAAATAAAGAATACCAAATAATTCTAATCTAATCAATAAATAATAATAATAATAATAAAAAAAGAAAAAAAAAACCTTTGGAACGGCTCAGCTCGGTTAGGGTCCAGGCAGAGACGTAGGTCACTGATCGGATTGACGCTCGGGTCGGGTCATTTGATTTCAAAATGTGCGGATCCTCTACGAATAGTAAGGCTAAAACGACATCGTTTTCGGTAAGTATAAAAGGCTTCAACCTCTGTTTTTTCATAGATTGCTTTCTTCCCTCTCTTTCTATTCTTATTTTTTCTCCTCCTTCTCTCTAAACAGAATCTAGATTCTGGTTGAATATCTATCCGAATCTGAAAAAACACGTCGAAAACTTCAAAGTTGGCAGAAAATATTGTTGGAAAACTTGAATCTCATCGAAAAATTTTATCGGATTCTAGAAAATTTTCAAAAATTTTTTAGAAAAAAACTTCAAAAATTCTAAAAAAAATTTCCCACAAATTCCTAAAGTTGTTTCTAACACACCAGAACCTTTTTTAGCTTCTGTTTCCTCTTCCCTTTTCTTGTATGATCTATGGACCTATTTTATAGGGATTGATCAGAAGAATTTTTTATCAATCCCAACTCCCTCTGAGATTTGGATTCAATCTTTGAATCCAATTCCAATTCTATCAGCCTCCAATTTCATGGTCAAATCCAATTTTTTCTGATTCTAATCCTAGTTGAAAATCAATCAAGAAAAAGATAAAATAAAAAATATATATTAATAGATAAAATATAAAATTTATATTAATAGATAAATAAAAATACATTAATAGATTAATAATAAAAACTATATATATATTGATAAATAATAAAAATTAAATAAAATAAATACAAAATGGGCTTACCCATTTAGACTAGGCCTAATTGATCTGGGTCTGGACCAAATTGGGTATCTACAGTTGCCCTTCTTTGCACATTTTTTGTGAAACAAGAATTGTGCAAAGACGTAGGCACTCATTTAAGGTTCCACTCGACTCTTTTTTTGTTGAAATTTTGATTAAACTCCTCTAAGCAGAGGCTCAATGACTTTGGAAAATAAATAACTCTTCTAATCAAAGGCAACAGAACTTTGAAAAATAAATAGCTCATCTAAATAGAGGCAACAAAACTTTGAAAAATAAAATACTCCTTGACAATCATGTTTAAAGAAGTCAAAGATCATGTTTGAAGAAATTTCAGGAGATTATGCCCAAAGGTCTTGCAAATCGATCCTGATACCGAGAGATATCCTATTTCAAGGATTAGAAACTCACCTGACAAGCTTTTGCTTAAATTTGAAAAAGTCTTCACATTTGTCCTCTCCATGTGGGATTTTGGAATATCCCAGCTTTTTGATTTTATGCATCATACTTTCCTAAATGCAGTATATGCTTATGCTTATACGATGCATGCAAAATTCAATGAACACTATGCAATTGCTAATTAATTTTCATTCAATTATGGTACTCAAGTTTTTTAAGCTCTTTTCTTGAGTTTCGAACCCTTGATTTTTCAAAGACCAAGTTACGCTATTCTTCTAAGATCGAGCCAGTATAACTCTCAATCATCTCTTCCATTTAATTCTCACATTCTTTCTGTAAGAAATCTCTTTCCAAATTCAATGTCCTTATCAGGAACTGAACATCTCAATTCTGCCTTTATCACTCTTGACTTCTTTAATGTAATGTAGAAATCTTTCATGCCATTATTCATTTATCAATCATTATTTCAAACTCAAAAAGTAAGAATGCATTTACACATTTATTTCATTGTAAGGTATTAAGGGGAAAAGAATATAAATGGTTAGGAAACAGTCAACAAAAAAGGCACACAAAGAGTGAAGTAGAATTTTTTTTATTAGCAAAAATGTTGGCAAACTTTGGCCAAGAAAGAATTATAAAGATAGGTATGGGGAGACAATGTCCAAAAATGAACAATTGGACAATCATGATAACACATCTTAAGGTTCTTTTGAAAACCCAACCATCTGATGCATTTAACAACTTAGAGCTCTTCAGAATATGCTAGCCTCCATGCTAATGAATTTTCAGATTTAATGTTGTATTCTCCTTATCTAAGCTACATTTTCAGGTTTTCAACTTAGATAAACCATCATTTTGACTCAAACCGTCCTTTGGGGTTTTTGCCTTGAGTCTTTTTTTTCATTTTTTTTTCAAGCATAATACTTCTTCATAGCATCAAAATTTATAAGATGGGATAAATCATTTCCATCCTTTTCAGCTAATCAATGCTTCACCCGAGAAAGCCCGTTTCACCACATATGACCCTTCCCAATTCGGAGTCCATTTTCCTCTATTATTATGCTGATTTGGAAGAATTCTTTTGAAGACCAACTTTCATTCTCGAAAACAACAAGGTCGGACTTTTTTATCATGAGCCCTCATCATTCGTCTTTGATATAGCTGACTATGTCATAACGCTGTCAATTTCTTTTTTTCAATAAAATTTAACTGTTTATAGCACTCTCGAATCCATTCAGCCTTTTTCAATTCAACTTCCTTCAGAACCCTCAAGGATGGGATCTTTACTTCTATTGGCAATACAACTTCCATCCTATAAACCAAAGAAAATGGAGTGACCTCAGTAAAGGTGTGCACTGACTTTCGATATGCATGTAGTGCAAATGATAACTTTTCATGCCAATCTTTATAGGTCTCAGTCATCTTCTCAAGAATTCCTTTTACATTTTTGTTAGCTGCCTCAACTGTCTCATTCATTTTCGAATGGTATGGTGCTGAATTGTGATGCTTAATCTTGTACTGGGCATATATCTCTTTCATCATCTTGCTATTCAGATTCTTGGCATTATCTGAAATGATTTTCTCTAGTAGTCCATATCTGCAGATGATTTCTCTCTTAATAAACTTACAAATCATAGATCGTGTTACACTTTCAAAGGATGTTGCTTTCACTCATTTTGTGAAGTAATCTATCATCACGAAAATAAACCTATGCCTATTAGAAGCCTTTGGGGTAATTGGACCAATGACATCTATGCCCCACATCGAGAATGGCTAAGGTGGTGCCAAAACATGTAGAGTAGATGATGAAGCATGAGTCTTGTTAGCATATATCTGGCATTTGTGATATTTTCGAGCATAGTCAATACAATCAATCTCTATTGTCAACCAATAGTACCCTACTCTCATGATCTATCTTGCCATAATATGTCCATTGGCATGTACCCCATATATTCCATCATGCACTTCTTCAAGGATTTTTTTTGCCTCTGCCTTATTTACATATCTCAGTAATACTTGATCATGGTTTTTTTTGTATAGAACATCCCCATCCAGGAAAAAACTCCTAGCTAATCTTCGAATGACCTTTTTATCATTCTCCATTGCTTGGACTGGATATTGCTGATATTTAATGTACTGTAAAATATCATAATACCAAGGCTTCCCATCTTTCTCTTTTCTACATTAGAGCAGTGAGCTGGCATATCTTTGACATCTAACTTGATAGGTTGAATATAAGTACTATCACTAATTTGGATCATTGCAGCTAGAGTAGCCAAAGCATCAGCTATCAAATTCTCCTCTTGAGGTAAATGATCAAACTGTCTTATCAACTCTAAAATATACTTGTGATATGGAACAAGTTTTGAATCTCTCGTCTCCTATTCTCTTTTTAATTGATATATAACTAGAGCTGAGTCTCCAAACACTTTTAATACTTTCACTCTTCTATCTATAGTAGCTTATAGACCCATGACACATACCTCATATTTAGCGATGTTATTTGTGCAATTGAAATTTAACCTCGCTGTTATAGGATAGTATTGTTCTTTTAGA